AACTTGAGGTGTTAACTAAAGAATGACCTTTTGGCTTTGTCTGAACTTATATTGAGGAAGGCTCTCTAATTAAAATTGCATTTAAAGCAACTGCATTAAATCATGACAAAATATTCCATTCCAGCTAAGGCAGCTGAACTGGTCCTTCAAACAATCAAAAATCAGAGTGTGCAGAGGGGTTTGGGGGGGGCAGGTAAAGTGGAGAGGTCTTAGAAGCATTTGCTCAACAAATAAAGAAGAATGTCAAGAATCAAAAGTTTCAGTTTCTGGCTAAAGTAAGCGTTTGAATATTCAGTCTGGATATTCTTGACTTTTGTGGCACTTACTTGAAACTCAGGTTGTGCAATTTAACAAATGCAGGCAGGGCCAAAATATTTGGCCAAAATATTTAATATGAATGCAAGGAGACCAGCTAAACAGAATGTTAAAAGGCCTTTTAATCTGTGACTTGCACTTATATTATAAAGTTCACCTGCTCTGTTCTATTAGCAAGATGACTTGATAATTTCAGAAACAAACTGAGGAAGGGATCACTCTGGATATAATCTCAATTCCCGATCGCTTTATGGAGGGAGGGAGCTCCTTTTAGGATAGACCAGGAATGAGAAAAAGGGCTGTAGTTTGCTATATCAGAATAAGATAAAAGAATACAGGAAAGCTTAAGTTATATAAGAGGATGAAATACAATATGTTTCTTAGGATTATCTCTTGCTCCTTTAAATGTTTCTTTTCAATGACTATACATAGTTTTATTATTTGGGGACACAATGAAACAAGATTTGCATTATCAATATTCTCTTAGTGGAAAATCTCCAAACAAAATTTAAATAGATAGGATCAGGACTTTTTTTTTTTTTTTGGCAGATTTACTCCCCAATATAGATTTACAGTATGTCCTAAGGTTTTAGAGCCCTTTAGTGTTATTTCATTTATCCCTTGCTACATAGACTTCAACAAATGGCATATATGCTGTTGAAATGTTCTGGGATGTTGATTCTATTTTTGTTTCCAAGTTAAATATGAACATATCCAGCATTACACAATACAATCTCCCTGAGGATGTTGCTTCCCTCTGAAAATAGTCTGCTTCTAACTCCCTGTTCCATGAAATCTGAAATGGATATTTCTTCACTCCTCCAGCTTTTCTTGCAATGCTGAAAAGGGGTAAATTCTTGGTGAAAGTTTAGACCAGTGTTTCTCAACCTTGGCCATTTTAATATGTGTGGACATCGCTGGCTAGGGAATTCTGGGAGTTGAAGTCCACATATCTTAAAATGGCCAAGGTTGAGAAACCCTGGTTTAGACCAACATTTTTAAAACTTTGAACAGACACAGGATATACCAGATTCCATAATCTTGCATTTCTCATTGGATCTCTTTAACAATTCTCTTGCATGAAGAAAATAAGAGTGTATAAATACTACTTAAGAGCAGAAAGAATTATTTTTCACCATTTAGTTTAGGTTTCCAGCCTCCTCTAGCTTCTAGTCACTGAAAATAAGCCAAGTAACTTCAAGAACAGTTAAGTACTATAATTGGTGTAGTTCTCATCCTATCATTTGATGCAGCTGCAAATACAGCACTTATTTAACAAAACTGATTTTAAAATAATCTAAAACTGGCAAAAAAAATTTTTTTAAAAAGAACCATAAACTAACATTAAAGTACTTAAAATCTATGAGTATTGGGCAACATTCCCCTTCTAAGGCATGAATTTATAATGTATGCAGATTTGAAAGAGCAAAAGAATATACTGATTTGGACACTCCAGGGATAGTTTGCTTCCAGTCCAGAAGATTAATTTCTGAAAAATTGCCAGCCCTTCTCCAGAGTAATGTGGTGATGGGTGTGGGAGGGGGAAGAGAACATGTCAGTTATCCAGTACATTACATTATTGGGGAATAGATATTGTATATATATTGTCATATCATCTGTCATTCTTCTTTCCTAAAAGAAGAACTATTAATTATAAGCACTGATGATGATACCTAGTTTGTGTAATGAAATGTCTGCAAGAAAACAACCAAGCTCAGACAGTACCAAGGACCCTCAGATGAACTATTAATTTAGCAAAATTTCCCCTTTCCACATCTGCTTGCTGAAGCCAGACCATAGCATACCAGAAGCCAAAAAAAAAAAAAAAAAAGGTATGGGGAAAGTGGTGTAAAGGTACAATCACCTTAAAGAAATTATGTGATATATTGTTTCTCCCACGAATACATCTTTTCTCCCCATTATCATTTCTAATTAGTTACACTAAAGTCTTAATAGAAGGAACACCGCCTCTTGAGGGCTAAACAAAAAGGTTGAATGAAATCCCAAAAGAAAGACGTGATAAACAACTTAGCACAAACATCTGCACAGGTAGTCATTAGGAGTCAATCTCCATCTTTTCTCCAGCAAACCCTGATAATACATGTTCTCCACAGGCAATGATGCTACTGTATCCTCACATTATTTCCCCATCTGCTTTGAAAATCTTGATAACAATATTTCCATAGACAATGATGTTACGGTATCTTATTATTTCTCCACGTGTTTTGAAAAGTAATTTTCAACTTCAATTATTTGTATTAAAGGAAGCCAGTTAATAAATACTTTTACCACAGCCTAATAATAGTAATAATCTCCAATGTTCTTTTCCATTCATTAGATATGATTACCTGGGACTAACTACCATCTTTTTTTTTTTAATTTTTTTAAAAAGATGGACACAACTTCTCATCTCCCAACATTCATTCCCATTGAAGCCAAAGGGAAAAGTTGTAAAACAAAAGAGCAGCATTTTGGCATTTCAAACATGATGTGCACTGAATTTTTCCCAGTGGCCGTTGATGTTTGGCTAATAGAATATCATTATGTCTCCTAAGTGGGAAGGCATTTGAAAGATTTGAATGAAATAAGCTTTAATGCTGTGCCTCCTCTCTAAAAGTTATTTGGCCCAACTGTTTTCATTGTTGCAGTTCTGTAAACTGAATTGATGTAGATATATGCTTAAATTATATTGCCCAATTAACTCATCTTCTTTTCAAACTTCTTATATTTCCCCAAGGTGCTCTGGATGGAAAAGGTCACATGAATCAATAGCTATGTGTACGTGTGCCTATTGACTCGGTAAGTGTCTTTTAAAATAGGTTCATTATCATTTAGAAATAATAAAGGGGATGGCTTGACCCTTATTTACTTCTTTTAGCATAGTACTCATCTGGACAACCAATAATATCCCCAACATTCTTGGAAATATCTGCAACAGGTGAAGATGATATGTTTCTGGGTCACATCATGTTTGATTATTGTGTGTCTTGTCTTTCAAAATTCCATTTTGACCTGCCAAAAAAAGACTGGGGCATTTGCCGTTCACTGACTGGCAATCATATTCCACAATCTCATATTAGAATATTTATAAGCCCTCCTATTTTATATAAAACTAGCCGTGTTCCCAAATGGACGCTCCCAATCTTTGAAGGTGAAAGTGAGTAGCCAGAAGATTTTGCTAATTTCCAAGAATGTAGTAGCTCATATAATTTTTGATGTTTCTCATGCCCAGGTAACACAACTATTCTATAAATTGTACTGGCTCCTAGTAGGTTTCCAGGTGTGATTCAAGGTTCTGGCTATCATTTGTAGCCCTCAGTGGCATAGGACCGAGCTAATTGTGGGAATGCTTTTCTCCCATTGTTTCTATTCAGCCCTCCAGAAACAGCAGAGAGGGCATGCTCTGGGTCTCTTCTATCAAATGATATAATCTTGTTGGAACCCAGAGTTGTGTCTTCTCAATGGTGGTACCTGCCCTATGGAATAACATCCTCCTGGAAATTTGGGTGGCCCCAACCCTATTAGCTTTTCACGAGGTACTGAAGACCTGCCTATTTCCACAGGTATTTTGGGTCAAGATGTTAGATGAGCTCTAACATTTGAGGGGAATCATTGTTTTATATTGGGGGGGGGTTGTACAATGGGCGTTGTATACTGTGATTTTCATTTTATTAATATTTGCACACCACTCAGAGTCATCTATGTGACATGGGCAATCATATAAATCATATTTTTAAAAAAGTTATTTGTAAGATCATGCATTGTCTTATATCCTTTTTATTCTCCAGCACGATGACTGAAGAATCCACCAATGGGTTATTTCAGTCCTCCTGCCCAATCAGACTAAGTTGTCAGAGTTGTCACGCCCATCCTTGCCTGGGACCTCCCAATTTCATCTTAGTCTTTCTCCCATGAGGACGTGATAACTTTGAGTCTCAAAGCTTACTCTTCAGGCAGGTTAGACTTTTAGAAACTATTCATTTTACCCATTGGTGGATCTTTTCACTGGAGGATTGGAGACTTCTAGTCTCTGATCATCTCCCTTGCAGGGAACTCTATCCCATTCCCTTAACGGGGAAAAAACTTCCCTTCCCCATTCTTCATTTGAACAATTTCCTGGGGGGGGGGGAGGAGATTCTCCTGCTCAGCAATCAGCTGAGCCCTTCTTCCCAACCTGTTTTCAGGGGTTTTTGTTGTCCCCAAAACACCTCCAGCCCTTTCCGAAGCCGTTTCATTTTCACGGCCGCCATTTTGAAGCCACTAGGCTGTCAGCCCCCTTCCAAAGGTTTTTACTTCAGGCGAGTGGACTGGCCTAAATTATTGACATTACAAGCAATACAAGGAGAAGAGGCCTAGTAGAGCCTTGCCTCTTAACAGCAGCCCTTTGACTAAGGAATCTCCGACTCTGCCGGAATACACCGATATGGCCATTGCGCCTATCAGCTTTTAGGCGCGATCCGGAGAGAGCCATTTTTCCTTCTTTCCTTCCACTTCAATTGTGCTTGGGGCAAGAATTCCTTGAGCGTCTTACTACACGATCGCAGGCTAGGTATACGGTCGTTTCAACCCCCCTCCCATTCTCCCCCCTCCCCTTACAAAAAACAAGAACGGCTGCCATTTTGTGACGCAGCAAGTATTCCTTTGGGAATATTCTACATAGGTTTTGCTGCCTCACAGTTACGGGCGCCATTTTGAGTGATCTTGCAGGCCTGCAACCCCACTGATAGGCCTCTGACATTCCACATTAGCGAGCTCGCCCATTGGAGCACAGCTACTGTACCTTAATTTCACCAATTACAACAACAACTTGAACTCACAACGAGTTGAGGATCCCTTTACTGCGATCTGTTGGCAACAAGCTCTTCAGGCCTTGGTCGCTTAGCACTCCTTCACCTCAGCTTCTGCCACTCTGCATCTAGTGGTTGCTTATCAGGACCTGACCATTGCCACTATTGTGAGACATGTGAGATTTCGTCACCAATTGGCTGCAAAGCTATTCACACGGACACATTAACTTTGCCCTTTGCCTTGGTGGTGAGCGCCTTGCTGCGCCCAACGTGTGTCCAGCTCGGCCAGTGGGCCGGACCACGCTGATCCACTGCAGTCAGTCTCTCCACGGGGGGGTAACTGACATCTCTTGCAGAGCGAGTTAGTTCCAGAGCCGCATCTGGAATGCTTCTCGATCAACCATGGCAAACATCACTGAGCCACAGGCTTCGGATGCAGACAAGCAACCCAGTCTCACAGCTCCCGGCCTAGAGGAGGCTAAGGGTAAGGCCAAAGCCAAATATGGCAAGAGGTCAAGCAAGGCTAGCAACAGACAGGCCAATCGCATGCACCGAGCCCTAGAGAAGCAATTCTCTCAGGCCCAACGCTTGTCTGAGGGGGAGGGGCACAAATCACCACTTCCTCCGATTGCAGCTCCTGAGATGGTCCAACAATTGCTCACTTCACCAGAGCTTGGTCGCCTGAGTGGGAGCTTCAGCAGGTCTCAACACAGACCATTGGTCAGGGAGGCACACCCCTCTTTGGAGAGGATCTCAAGCTATCAGACCCCTCCATGGCATGCACAGCAACCTTCACACCGACTGCACTGGGACTTCATCTCCCACAGGGACCTTCCTTTACCGACCAACTGCAGTCATTGATTTCACAGGCAGTTATTCAAGCCATGACCTCCTCGGATCACCAAAAATCCCCATTGGTGCCTACCACCTCATCACGACCTGCACTGATGGACTACACCGGGCCAGCTTCTCCATCCCATTATCCTGAATCTGACTCTTCCAGCGCTTCAGACTATGACGGGACTGCAGACCAGTGGTCGGACTGCGAGGAGCCTCCACAAGACTCCCAGCCCATGGCAGAGCTCTTCATTGCTTCGCTCTTTCCCTCCTTACTTCTCAGGGCATGTGCAGCAGGTAAGATCACTTCTGACCCGGCCCCCACTCCGGAAACTTCCACTGGCCAGGATATGAATCCCCTGTTCTCCAAACCGGTAATTCGGCATCAACAAATTCCCTGCCCCCCTTTATTCCTGAAGAATATTCAGGGACAATGGGAATCCCCGGCCGCACAACCATCCCAGGGGGAGCTGAATGTAAGATAGTAGACATGGCTCAAAACTTGACTGACCTATTGGAGGTACCCAAAGTGGATGAATCCATAGCTCCACTATTCTCGGCCTCCAGTCTTCCAGCAGATGTATCTGATGCCTTTAAGGCAGAGGATAAGAAATCTGAGATAGCATTTCGCAAAGCTCATCAAGCATCTGCGTGGGCTGCGAAGACGGCTACAGCCACTTCTTTTTTTGCTAGGATTTCCCTCACTTGGCTTAGACAACTTCAGGAGAGGATTCCCCTGGAGGAGGTCAGAGTCCACCAGGACCTGACCAATTCATAGTGACCTCGGAGTATATGGCGGATGTGTCCTTATACGCTGCCAAGCACTCGGCCCGAGCAATGGCTTCCAGTGTAGTCGTTTGGAGGCTGCTTTGGCTCAAAAATTGGGGGGCCGAGAACAAACACAAATGGCGCATGGCCACGGCTCCATTCAAGGGAGGTAGTTTATTTGGGGAGGCATTAGCACCATTCCTAGTGGACAATAAACAAACGCAGAAGGTTATTTCTCATTTGTCTAGAAGAGCAAACAGGCGTTTCCTTCCCTATGCCGCCACCAGTCCTTACGGACCATAGCAACAAGCATACTGTTCCCCTGTTCCTAGGGCAGACCGTCCAATCGACAGGACGAATTACTGGGACAGGTCCCGACACCAGACCCAGAACAAATCTTTCTTTCAAGGCAGAGGGGGTTGTCCCTTCCGTCGCTCCAGGTGACTCAGGAGGGACCCCTCCCATTGGCGACAGATTTACCCTTTTTATCTGCCAATGGGAAAACACAACCACAGACTCCTGGGTTCTGCGCACCATAAGAGAAGGTCTGTCCCTGGAGTTCAAATACATACCCATAAACCACTTTATCTCTTGTCCAGCCCTGAGAAACTCAACAAAAAGGGGTCTCATGGCAAACGCAATTTGGCATCTACTAAGCATCAAGGTCATAGAGGAGGTCCCAGCGGACCAGGTAGGACAAGGGTTCTACTCCATCTTATTCGTAGTCCCAAAGTCTTCAGGGGGATGGAGGGCAATCCTGGACCTCAAGGCCCTGAACCTCCATTTCCAGTATTGGAAGCTCAAGATGCAGACGCTCCATTCCATCTTGGGTGGCATCAGGCGAGGGGATTTCATGACCTCAGTCGATTTCACAGAGGCATATCTGCACATCCCATCATCGCCAATTCCTGCGGTTCTGTCATCTCAACCGCCACTTCCAATACAGAGCCCTACCATTCGGTCTCTCCTCTGCTCCCAGGGTCTTCACCAAGATCCTGGCGGTTCTGGCAGCATACTTAAGATTGGCCCCGGTACATGTCCAGTGCTACCTGGACGACATCCTGATACAATCAACCTCTGTCACGACCGCCCAGTCGGATCTGGCCCTCACGATCAGGACTCTTCAGGACCACGGGTTCTCCATAAATTTCAAAAAGAGCCAGACTGTCCCTCAACCCGCCTCTTATACCTGGGTGTGGTAAGAGACACGGACTCTTGAGACACGGACTCTTGTCACATGTTTCTGTCAGAGGACCATCAGAAAAGCATTCGAGACCTGGTCATCAGAGTCCGCAGGGACAGGGTAGTGACGCTGGCTATGCTTTCCCAGCTACTAGGGAAATTCATATCTTGCATAGCGATAGTACCTTGGGCCAGACTTCATGCTCGGACCCTCCAATGGTTCATGCTCCCGTACTAGAGACTACATATCAGCTCTTCCAACTGGTTGGTACAGGTCTCCAGTCAGGTGCTACGCTCTCTCAATTGGTGGACATCCTCAGCCATGCTCGAGGAGACTCTCTTCAAGGAGCCTCACTACATTCTTATGACCACGGACGCAAGTCTGTTTGGCTGAGTTGCACATCTCCAAACCCAGATGGCTCAGGGCCAGTGGTCACGTTCGGACCTGAGGCACAACATAAACTGGTTGGAGCTCAGGGCGATTCATCTGGCTCTCAAACACTTCCACAAGGTGATTGGCGGAAAACATGTGCTTGTCCTCACTGACAATGTAGCTGCAAAGGCCTACGTGAACCGGCAAGGGGGCACCCGTTCCACGTCCCTCATGTTGGAGGCTCAGACGTTGGGTTCCTGGGCAGAGAAGAACCTGCTTTCCATCAGGGCCGAGCATATCTCGGGAGAGGCGAACCGGCAGACAGACTTTCTCAGCAGGTCAGTTATGGACCATTTGGAGTGGCGCTTACACCCGGATCTCTTCAAGGAGATCACAGACAGGTTGGGCCATCTGATTGTGGACCTCTTTGCCTCACCGGAGAACACCCAGCTTCCTAGGTTCTTTTCACGTTTCCCCTCTCGGGGCGGAGGGGACAGACGCACTACACAGTCCATGGCCGCAAGGCCTATTGTATGCTTTCCCTCCTCTTCCTCTGATCCCAGCAACTATCAGGAAGGTCTTGGAGGAACAGGCAGAGTTAATATTCATTGCACCCCACTGGCCCAGATGGCCATGGTTTGTGGACCTAGTGAGCCTCTCCGCAACTTATCTGTGGCAGATTCCCAACAGTCGAATACGGTTAATGCAGGGGTCCCTGCAACATCCAGACCCCCAATGGCTCCAATTGGCCGCCTGGCATTTGAACGCCGCACCCTGACTCAGCAGTCATATTTGTCAGGTGTGATTGACATGACTCAGGCGGCCAAGAGACCAGCGACTAACCGCATCTACGATCACATTTGGTGGAATTTCTGTCACTGGTGTGACAGGAACAACCTGAGTCTCTCAACTGTGACCATCCCAAGGGTCTTAGAATATTTACTGGAGGGTGTTAATAAGGGCTTGTCATCCAACACCATTCGGAGGCAGGTAGCGACCCTTTCCACGGTACTGTCCTGGGACAGTTCTCAACCCTTCTCTCAGCATCCCATGCTCCGCTCCTTCCTCAAAGGAGTCACAAATAGCAGACCACCTGTGGTCCATAGGTATCCCTCCTGGGAGCTACAGGCCCTAACCGCCTCACCCTTTGAACCCATTAGAACCTGTTCCTTGAGATACTTGTCACTCAAGGTTTCCTTCCTGATTGCCATCATCTCCGCCAAGCGTATATCGGAGCTGGCCACTTTATCTATCAGGAAGGACCTGTGCATGTTTCACGAGGATAGGGTGGTGCTTAGGTTAGATCCTTCCTTTATCCCTAAGATTAACATGGTGTTTCACAGAGCACAGGAGGTTATCCTCCCAAATTTTTGTCCCCGTCCGTCACATGACCTGGAGCGCCAGTGGCACACATTGGATGTACGTAGAGCCCTGCGCTGTTACATCAAGCGCACGGTGGCATTTCGTAAATCAGAAGCCCTGTTTGTATCATTTCAACCCTCTTCCATGGGACAGAAGGTATTCGTCTCTACCATAGGCAGATGGATCAGGGCGTGCATAGCAGGAGCGTATGTGTCGCTTTCCCTGCCAGTTCCTAGTCATGTGATGGCACACTCCATCCGTAGCGCTGCTACATCTGCAGCGTGGGCAATATAGGCATCCATAGAGGATATTTGCAGGGCAGCGACATGGTCCTCGCCTTCCCCCTTCATTAGACATTACCAGTTAGACAAGTTCGCCTCAGCTGAGGCCTCTTTCGGTAGACGAATACTACAACAGGTAGTGACAGGACTAGAGACACAGACCCCAACTGACTCCCTCCCGTAGAGACTGTGGGGGCTTTGGTAAATCCCATTGGTGGATTCTTCAGTCATCATGCTGGAGAAGGAGTGTTGGCTTACCTGAACGCCTCTTCTCAGCATGATGATGAAGAATCCACGCCCGCCCCTATAGAGATCAGTTAGGTCAGTGTCAGGGTGTTGTTTTACCTTGTACTTCTTGGAGAGTCATCATGTCGAATTGTTGTCATTGGCTCTGCCGTCGATGAAACTGGGAGATCCCAGGCAAGGATAGGCATGACAACTCTGACAACTTAGTCTGATTGGGCAGGAGGACTGAAATAACTCATTGGTGGATTCTTCATCATCATGCTGAGAAGAGACATCCAGGTAAGCAAATGCTCCTTCTCCCTATTTCTTATTTTAACTAGAAAGAATGTGAGATCAGGTAGGACCATATAATTTATGAACATCATATTGCAGGCAATCTTAGAATGGGAAACACTTGTGGCTTTTTAGATGTTATTGGACTTCAACTCCTTGTCAATCCTGATTATTGTGATTCTAGTGAAAACAGAGTTAGCTCAAATTCTAGAGGACTACATATTCTCACCCTTGTATTAAACCATAGTTGACCTTATGTAGACATTCCAGAAGAGGAAGAAGGAAAGGATCCGTGTCCAGGTTTATCACTTGTCTGATCATGCTAAGTTAGTTATCCCAAATATGTTATCTCCCATAAGTGACTGATGCCAGATCCCATCATTTCTTGCTAGCATAGTTAATTGGGAGTGGATATCCAGAATTTATCAAGGACACTAAGTTGAAGGGAATGCTAAACTTTGGATCTGAATCAAGGCCATGACAGGATGTTTTCATCTGTAAGATAAAGAAGAAATGTTCTTCCCTTTGAAGAAAAAAGCTTCATAGTACCCTTGGCACATACCTTATTTTGATTACTAAAGCAATGATGCAAGCACCTCTTCTGCTTTCTTTACAGGAATGAATTATGTAACTAATAAGTGATTGCCCTTTTGAGTTAGCCAGTGAGGAGTTTATACAATCGTCAGATGGAGCATGGTGTCATTTGGGTGAAATGGATTTAAAATAATTACTCGTTACCTCATTAAATATAAAGATGGAGAGAAGTCCAATTTAAATAGCAGAATAGACCTGTGGATAAGGAATGCTGAATATTATTTGAAATATTTTGTCTAACAGATGTCATTTTTGTTATCTAAGCATAGCTGAGGAGAAAAACTATGTAGGTAGAAGATTTTTTTTTAATTTTCACAATACGTGCTCTGTTTCTCTTAGAAATCACTTTGCTCCCTTCCTTACTTTTTTTCTGTTTAAACAGAATTTCTGCTGTCACATCTAATTCTTTCCTAATATATCTGTCCTGTCCTGCCAGAGAGGTAAGCAAAGATGAAAGTTTGTGAATTTATGGATTACTTAAATAATTTATAGAAAACCTGGGTCAATTGGGATTGTGGAACCAAGCTATAAAACCTTAACAAGAATTCAATCCAAATATGTCTCTCTTTATATAGGTAGGCCTCAACTTACAACATTTGTTTAATATTTAATTTGTTTAGTGGCACTGAAAAAAATGACTTATAATTTACAACCATGGTGGCATCCCCACAGTCATATGATCAAAATTTGGGTGCTTGGCAACTGGCCTGTATTTAAGATGGTTGTGATGTCCCAGGGTCATGTGATCACTATTGTGACGTCCCCAGGGACTTCCAACAAGCAAAATCAATGGGAGAAGGACTTTTTAAAAAACCATGTTTCATTTAACAATTGCAGTGGTTTGCTTAACAATCATAGAAAAAAAGTCATAAATTGGTCACTTAACCACCTTGCTTAGCAACAATTCTGGTTCCAACTGTAGTCGTAAGTCAAGGACTACCTATATCCAGAAGAAATTAGTAACCTGGATTTTGCACTCTGCGGAAAATGGAAACCAAGTTACCAGGTGGCCCTGGAAATGTACACTTTACATTTTTCTTCTTTGCATTGATCTGTGTATTTATACAATAAAATTGACCTGTGTGTTTATACAGTACAGTGTTGCAGTCATCAGTAAAATGAAATTCCACATGTACACATTTCAAGATTTCATAACACTCTTTCATGGAAAGTTTAATTTCTATAGCTTGCCCTTTTCTTCTCTGAGTCCTTTAAACAAATAACTCAAACATCCCTGAAGTTTCAAAACTTTATACATTTTACCAAAATATAGAAATCTACCATGGCAATATCTCCTAATGCAGAGGTGTCAAACTCACAATGTCATGTGACATGTCGTGACTTTTTTTCCATTGCTGGCAATGGGATGGGCGTGGTTTCGCCATGACGCATCCAGCCTGTGGGCCGGCAGTTTGACACCCCTGTCCTAAAGTGATAGAAGGGAGTTCCTCTGGATAAATACATGCTTATTTAGTCATAATTCAAATTAGAGAAAGAGAGAATTGACTCTACATATTTCTGGACCTTTTGTCCTTTGGAAAATCTATGCTTCTGGAACCCTGTTCCTGTCTTTTCACAGTTAGTATAGCAACAAAAATTCTTCTCACAGTCAAAAATCCATACATATCGTTATCAACTACTAATTTTTGAGCTGGATAAAAATGGAGGGAAAAATCACTAGGCCAGCCTGAACTGGAAATAGGCCTAAAGAATTAGATTGATTTTAAAAAGTTAAAATAATGAAGTTACCATCTAGATGAAGCTCTATATTTGAAATCTCACTGTTGTTAAATAATCAAACATGATAAAAGGTCCAGAGCAGTGGAAGAAGGAAGCATTTTCACTTGTAATGCCCCCACCCTCTCCTTGTAGTAAATTCCTAGGACAAAGGAGAAAGCAAAGCTAAAGATGCCTGGAAACTACCAGGACTAAGCCTATATTTAAAGTTGAGCATTTAAAAGCTATGGACCATGTGATACATAAGATCTGATTGCAACCCATTAGTCCCAGAAACAAATAGAAACTGTTTTTGAAAAAAAAGAACTAGGACAATCTCGAATGTATGCAATGCACATGCCAAGAAAAAAATACAGCTTGCAGTTTTATTGCATATTAACTTAGATAAGTGCTAATCTCCATTTATAGGGCTATTGTAGAAAGAGGACAAAGATTTGAATAGTACAAAATAGACCAGGCCCAGTAGTATAGCATGTGCTTTGTATGAAAAAGATATTTGGTTAAACTCCTGATATCCTAAGCATCTGTCTCTTGCTTTAGTAATGGACAGATATGATGGCAGGCTGTTTACCTGTTAAATATGTGACATGTAGCACATCAATCACTGTCTCTCAAAAATTAAATCTCAGTGGGGTGATAGATGTGCTTGACTCTAAAATTGCTTGTGTGTCAGGTTAAGTTCCTTTCATAACCATCTATCCAAATAGCTCTTTTACAGCAACTATGTGCAAAATCATTTTTTATTCCGGATGCATCACATTGAAACCGCACCCACCGGATTGCCGGCAATGAAGAAAAAGTCATGATATGTCATGCAACATCACATGATGTCGTGAGTTTCACATGCCTGCCATAAAGCAATCAGTGCTCTCCTCCAGCTGAGTAACAGGAGAGCAAAAATGTTTTTCCGTCATTTTCTTATCCACTGAACAATTGCACATTTTGGAGCCATAAAAATCTCTCACTTCTACCACATACAAAAATAAAATAAATTATTAGCCACCTTCCCCTCCTCCTGAAGTTTTTAGTTCACCATGTATGCATTTGTTTGGCTGTTTGGGAAAAAAATGAGTTTTTCTCTGCAAAAAAATGTCATAAAGCAACCAGTGCTCTCCTCAAGCTGAGTAACAGGAGAACAAAAATATTTCCCCATCATTTTCTTATCCATTGCACAATTACAAATCCTGAAGCCATTAAAATTCCTCACTCCCACCATAGAAAAAAAGGAAAATAAATTGTAAGCCACCTCACTTGCCTTCTATGCATTTGTTTGGCTATTTGGAAAAAAAAGGAGTTTTTCTTCTATAAAAATGCTTTCCAACTGCATTGTCATGTTCCCTCCTACATTTAAAAGACCTCTGCAAGCAATAATGATGAAATGGTAATGTTAGCATTTGCAATCAGGGTCATTACCTCTAATCCTGACTGATGCCCATACAGTAGGTGGAGAAGCATTCTAATTCATATTTCCAGATAGACACCAGGAACTGGATCCTGAAATCTGGAGCCAGGTTGAGGCAAGGAAATTAACTACTGAAACACTTTTCAAAAGAACTAGCTGCTTGACATCTGTTTCAAATAATTTCTTGATTGGAATGGGGGAGGGGAAGAAATGCTGATGCTTACAGCTGATCCACAATTGATGCTAGAGCCAAAGGGGAAATACATACAGAATTCAAATGTTTATGTTTCTTCCTTGGATCAAGATCCCGAGGGTTGTTGTTGTTTTAATGAAAGAATAGGTATTTCTAAGCATGGTATCCTCTCAGTGTAGAACCACAATTCCATGTCTAACTGAGAGTGATGGGATTTGTAGACCCAGTGCAATTAAACAACACAAGGCTGGGAAAGTGTTGAATTCCATGCCTACTTCCTTTCTCTTCACTTTGGTATGGAGATGCTCAGATGCCCAGCTGTCAAAGTCTGTCTTGAAAAATATCAGGCATCAGTGAGACCTGTGAGTCTGCATCTTGAGTTTGACAGTAGAACTATTCCCTAACTCAGGGGTCTTCAAACTTGGCCCTTTTATGACTTGTGGACTTCAATTCCCAGAATTCCTCAGCCAGCATGCCTGGCTGAGGAATTCTGGGAGTTGAAGTCTACAAGTCATAAAAGAGCCAAGTTTGAAGACCCCTAACTGATAAGGAAGAAAGCACATTTATAATATTCTTTGGCATGGTGAAGTTGTATATTGTCTTTGACTAACCTTTGTTGCTCTGTGCTCTGTTCCAGGGCTGCTGCACCAGAAAGATGAATGTGGGCACAGCTCACAGCGAAGTGAACCCAAATACCCGAGTCATGAACAGCCGCGGCATCTGGCTCTCCTATGTCTTGGGAATTGGTCTCCTGCATGTGATTTTGCTCAGCATTCCTTTCTTCAGTGTCCCTGTTGTCTGGACTCTAACCAACCTCATTCACAACATGGTATGAAGGTGCTCTTTGACTTCACAAACAGTGCTTCTGCAACTGGCAGTGGAAGGAAGCAAAACTGGTTCTTTTCTATGCTCTCTAAGCAAAGGAATTGGGGAGCAACCACAACAATGGTTGCTGTAGTAAATTCGGGTGCAATTGTTGCAGAGCCCTTCTGCCAATGGGTATCTATCAGGAATCTATTTCCTGGATCTGAGTACTTCCTTGGAGATCTCATCATCCTCTATAGATTCCTGGGTCAACTTGAAAACTAGCCATACGTCTCAGCTAAACAGTTGCTGATCTGGGGCCTTTGGTATCATTCAATGTTCTCTATGTGGCAATACTAATTTAGGATAATGTGATGACAGGGGGTAATTATCTGGTCAAAAGGTCCATCACATTACCTGGGACAAGGATAGCAGTGGAATAAGCTGCATATTTGAAGCAGAATATTCACATATAAAGGTTTTTGTTTATTAAGTCAAAACCCAGTAAGGTGTCAGAGTGGCATTCACACTGCTTTCTGTCATGCTTAGCTTAAACTATTATTTCCCTTTACAGAGAAAAAAAACATTTTATTAGTTTGCAATATCAAGTTTGATGTGTTGGTGAATAATCAAGATTAATTCACATTTCCCAGGTTAGATACAGTAGAAAATAGTGGTTTAAAAGAGAATTAGGAAGCTTGGAGATTTGCAGCCCCATACTCTCTTGCCCTTGGTTGAGTTGGTTCAGAAGAATTAATTAATGGCTGCCTATCCCTGTTTTGGGAACTATAATCATGATGATAGATTCACTAAGCCCAGTGTAGAAAAGATGAATAGAGTTAGATTGGTAGAATGTTAATTTGTCCTACAGTGAAATATTAAGCCATGGGTGTGTATCAGATCTGACTGATATACAGATGTTCACACTACCAGCCCTCTTCCTGGATTTATGCACATTTTATGTTACAGGTAATCCTTGCTTAACAATTACAGGTGGGATTGGCAATTCCATCACTAAGTGATGTAGCTGTTAAGCATGATTATGACAGGCTTATGAGCTCACTTCTACCACGGTTGTTAAATGAATCATTCTGGATTGTTGAACGAATCATTATGTGACCACAACTTGCCAGTTTACTGCTCTTTTCTCTGTTGACTCTGCTTATCTGTGAAGTGTGCAAATCACAGGACCTTATGAGAGTTGTAAACTCTGTGAGTTGTGAAATGATGGAATGATTACATAATCATGGAAACATTATGATGATCTTGTGAGAATCCATCATAAAATTGTTTTTTCAGTGGTATTGTAACTTTGAATGTCTCTAAATGGTGCAATCATTAAGCAAGGATTACCTATATATATGAGTTGGAGGGAGAATCAACACCCAAAAAAATCTCTGTTATAAGAATAGGGGAAATAAGTATAAGTAAACCAAGCATCATATCCAAATGAACTGCATGGAGAACATAAGGTGAAATGTAATAGAAAAGAATACATTAAAACTATAACAATGATGACCAGTTTCAGGGAAGTGGCTTTTCCCCCTCTTTGGTGATATGATCACATAAGCCAGTCATTTAAGCTGATTCGTATCTCAGAGTAATGTCCCCTCAGTTCATCTTTTCTGCAGTGCCAAGTAATTACTTCAGCTGCAGACTGGGTGGCCAACCTCATGGACATACATACTGTGAGCCTGACCCAAAGAGAGCAATCAGTACTCCAACTGTTGGCCTCAGCTACTTGCCTGGAGTTATTACTTCATTATAGTAATATAATGACTGAGAATGACTAGAGTTCCTTTGCTCCAAACAGATTTCAGGTTTAATCATACAGTATGATGCTCAACTCAAAAAGTTAGTTTTTAATAACATAGGTTCACCCCTGTGGAGATTCTCAATCATCCAGGGTCATGATTATCCCAAAGGTGCTTTTTCAAGAGGTAACTGGACTTTCTTGTTTTTTCTTTGAAGACATTTTGCTTCTCATCCAAGAAGCTTCTTCAGCACTAATTAGATGATGAGGAATGGAAGGATTTATATTCCTTGCAGACAGTTGGTCATTTGCATATAAATCCTTCCATTCCCCTCCGTATTGGGGGCAAGAATATTGAAATAGTCTCTGGTTGTAGTTTGTATTATTTTACTTTTGTGGAATTGACTCTCAGCTGTTCATCTACCTGGCTAATCCTACTAGTCCATCATATAAGAATCTATTGCCAATTGGGCTTTCACCCCAGTTGGCTGTTGTTGAAGGTGAAAAACTTAACTTAGGCTCCCCTGTTTCCCCACTAAGTTGTCACATAATTTACAGTAGTTTTATTCAGTATTGAAATATATTTCAAGTACTCTTGAAATATAAAGTTGGCTACAAGGGGTGAATCCATCTATTATCCTACAACCCAAAGATTTATACCAAAATCTCCTACTCAGCAAAGGGCAGCTTTATTGCCAGAACATTTGCACCTGCTCAAGCATATATGATTGCTGCACACAGAAGGCAAAACATATTGCCATCTCTGCCTGGAAAGCAATACAAAAAAAATGGGGATGTATTACATGAATTTTGAAGTATATTTATAAGTAACAATAACAATAATAGAGTTGGAAGGGACCTCGAGGTCTTCTAGTCCAATCTCCTGCCCAGGCAGGAAAGCCTATACCATTTCAGCCAAATGGTTGTCCAGTCTTTTCTTAAAAACTTCCAGTGTTGAAGCATTCACAACCTCTGGATGCAGCTTGTTCCACTGATTAATTGTTCTAACTATAAGGAAATTTCTCCTTAGTTCTAGGTTGCTTCTCTCCTTGATTAGTTTCCATCCATTGCTTCTTGTCCTGCCCTCAGGCACTTTGGAGAATAGCTTGGCTCCCTCTTCTTTGTGGCAGCCCCTGAGATATTGGAACACTGCTATCATGTCACCCCTAGTCATTCTCTTCATTAAACTAGACATACCCAATTCCAGCAGCCATTCCTTATATGTTTTAGCCTCCATTCCCCTAATCATCTTTGTTAGTGTTCTCTGTACTCTTTCTAGAATCTCAGCATCTTTTTTATAGCGTGGTGACCAAAACTGGATGCAGTATTCCAAGTGTGGCCTTACCAAGACATTGTAAAGTGGTATTAATACTTCACGTGATCTTGATTCTATCCCTCTGTTAATGCAGCCTAGCACTGTGTTGGCCTTTTTGGCAGCTGCAGCACACTGCTGGCTCATATCTAAGTGATTGTCCACTAGAACTCTGAGATCCCTCTCACAGTTGCTACTATTGAGCAAGGTATCCCCTATACTATACCTGTGCATTTGGTTTTTCTTGGCTAAATATAGAACCTTACTTGTTTCATCATTGAATTTCATTTTGTTAGATAGTGAAAGTCTTGCAGCTTTTGAAATTTGTTTCATGGGGACCTAATTGGGACCCTCAACTCCGTAATTAAACAAAGTGGTCAGTAATTGAAACTGAGTGTGTTATGATCTTACTCCATTTTTCTTTAGTTTATAACCTGCAAAGATCATAAACATGAAGATTGATCATAAAGGTACTTTCTCATCATGATGAATGGCTGCTAAACAAGGCAGCCACTAAACGAAGACTACTTGTACTTAGTTATTAACAAAACTGACAACAGCAAACCCTGATAACACATTGTTGAAGAAACCTTACCATATCAGCTCAATTTATTTTGTTTAGCATATGGCAATATAATGTATTGTGTATACACACACACACATACACACTATATAATACATATATATTTACAATATAATGAGTACAAGTTCAATATAGTTTGTTAATCATCTGATTTTTAGGTTCTAGAACAGAGTTTTCAGATTTTTCTCAAGCTACAGAAGATATACTTTTAATTGATTGTCCTCCAGAGTCACTTGTTTGGGATGGGCAGCCATATAAATTGAATAAATAATTCAAATAACTAAATATTCCACACATGAACATCAGCCTAGGAGAGATGAGATGTTAATCATCTCAGTGGTAAGCTTTCATCATACCATTTTTCAGACTATTAAGTATCTCTGTCATTTTATCCTCTCAAATCTTTACAATTGGCAAACTTGGCCAACTATACCTTCTTAGTCTAATTAGTTTATTTTAATAAGGTATTGGTAAACAGAAAGCTCTTGAAATGTTAACTGTTGCTTATATGGGTGGTATTTAGCTTACATACATAACAGAATTTCTATTGCTAGGCAAGGCAGTTGTTAAGCATCTGCTTTTACAAGCTTTTATTAAATGAATCAAACAGTCGTTAAGCAAATCTAGCTTGCCCAATTACTTTGCTTGTCAGAAGCCAGCTGGGAAAGTTGCAGATGGCAATCACATGATCCCAAAATACGGCAACTATTGTAAATATATGCTGGTTACGAAGTGCCCAAATTTTGTTCATGTGACTGTGGAAAAACTGCTGCAGTCATAAATGCAAGGACTTACTTAAATTATTTTAAATTCAAATGGTTGTTAAATGAATGGATTCAAGGACCACCCATACTGTAGTACTGTCTAAGAAATAGCTGCAATTTTTAGCAGTGAAACAATCGCTTAAAAAAATCATAGCTTCTCATTATGATAGTAACTTAGAAACCTGAGATGAGATTAAGCCTATCCTATTTTCTAGTATTGTGCACTAATTCTTATTGAAACAGAAGTTTTCAATTGTACCCCAGCACCTTCCCTTATTGTGTCACTTTCACTGCAAGAATATTGTACTGTAGATCATTTTCACCTTTCTCATCACTTAAACTGCTATCTGAAAGAACATATGCAGCCAAGCAAGCTAAAAAATCCTAACTAACAAGCCTTTATTTTCTTACAGAGTATGTACATTTTCTTACACACTGTGAAAGGAACACCATTTGAGACTCCCGATCAGGGGAAGGCCCGGCTGCTCACTCACTGGGAACAGATGGACTATGGAGTGCAGTTCACAGCTTCTCGCAAGTTCTTGACTATCACACCAATTGTACTGTAAGTACCAAAGGGACTGTGGTTGGAAATCCTCTTCTATCGCTATTTTTCTTTTTTCTTAAACAAGTTTTATTGGTTTTTTCATTTTACAAACACGTGCTTAAGAATCAAGTGGTGGCAGGGCAATCAATTGTCCACAAACAAGATCATTTTCATAAAATTCAGATTAAATCATTTTTAAAAAATCATTTTAAAAACCCTCTCTTTTCCCTCTAATAACATATTATATTCAAATTAATATATTTCAATAGAACTAAGTCAATCATAACAATCCTCAATAACCTTTCATCTAAGTAGATGAACAAATCCAAATCCTGTGTTAAGCTTAACTATTTCAATTGCTATATTCCATATTTCTAATCTAAATGCATAATTAACACTTCAGGGGTCTCCCCATTGCCTTTTTCCTTAACATATTCAATAAACATTTATTAGTATCATTTCTTCTTTTATCTTATTCTTCTTCCATTACAAAATAGGTATCATTCCTAGTAAAAAAAATATTAATTAAAAACAAAAAAGAAAGAGAAAGAGAAAAAAAGAACAAAAAACAAAACCAAGAAAAAAGAAAAATACCTTTCTATTTCTATTATACTTTATAATCTATCAATCAATCCCTCAATATTTGTATCAAATTCCTTTAACCTCCTTCCCAACTTACTATATCCAAAACATATTGATACATAAACAAACATCTTATTATTAAATTCAAACCTTTAATTATTTTTTATTCAATCTAACATCTTATTTAACTGTCTTAAGCCATAAATCAGTCCATATCTAATTAGCCCTTTAAACCCATTACATAAAGCCTTAAATCGCACTCTTAAATCTTATTCTAGCTTTCTTTTTATGCCAGACAGCTTTCCATAACAATGCCTCTATATCAATGAACAAGTCACTTTTTATGCCTTGTGGTATCCTTTGGATCAAATAAAAACATCCCCTTTTCTGTTTTAGAGACCTAGCTTCTTTATAAGTAATCCCTTGTTGTTTTAAAGAGTCAAGACTCCACGTTTGAAACTGATGAATAGCAGGCTCAGTTATGTCCAACTTTGTAGGTAATAGTTGCTTATCCAAGCTATCATAGTTTTCAGTTCATTGAGCTTGTCTGTCCATTTCTGTTGGTATTAGAGTTGTAAGTGATTTAGTTACAGTCCTTTTTAGTTCCTCGGAGATCTCATCAGCATGCATATAAAGTAAAGTGGAATCTTCTTTACCTTTAGTTAATCCCATTTCTATTGTTTTTTGGTCTATAGAATGCTCAGCTAAAGTCTGAGGGTCAGTTTGTAAATTCAAAGCAGAATTTCTGTTTTTTATTTCCATAGTAAATTCTTTTATCTGCAAACATATTTCATCAGTAGCTTCATAAAGTTTTTCCAGGATAAGCTTATAGTCAAATTGAACATAGGATTGCTCCATTTCAAAAGTAATTAGAAACAGTCTGTATCATTTAGTAGAGGCTGTGTTCAAGGAACATTTAATCAGTATCCACCCCCACCAGTACAGCTGTTAAATTTCTTTGTATTTTCCTTTTATGATAATCTGAAGGTCAAAGTCAGTCTCACCATCAGAAAAGAGAGCCAGTTGCAATTTTAACTTTTTCCACAAGGTGTCCTCAGTAAAATGTAAAATCTTCTCCCAGAGACCAAAAATCTCATAAACAAGATCAGGAAAGACAGAAGAAAGGAGAATTCAGATCCAATAGTAGAGATTCAATATTTAAAAAAAAATTTCAAGACCCTAAAGTGAATTTAAAAAAAATAATAATAAAAATAAAGAAAAATCACTTTAAATTAATTCAGTCCATTCAAGCTTCTTTTTCCAAGACTCACAAACGCCATTTTCTTAGAGCAGGGAAATAATTTCAAAAGTGGTTTTTACAGGCACAAAAGAAAAAGGAGAACCAAGAGAGAGGAAAAAAAAGTCTCACCCGGCTCAGCCACAATGGTTCCTGTGCTTAGATGTTCTTCTGACTTCTGGTTACAGCGGCAAGGTGAACGGCCATTTTACTGGCCGGTCTTTCCACTGTCGGCCCAAAGGAGCAATCTCGGGCCGTGGAAGAAGCTGCCACTCTCTCACAGCCGACGAGGACCTCCTCAGCGGTAGCTGCCCCTCCAAGGCAGCTTTTTGATCCGATTAAGGGTCTACCAGCAGCGGAAACTCAGCTGGCGAGGAGAGCTGTCTCCTCGCAGAGCTGCGAGCGCCACGATCCGGAACCAGAAGTCTATCGCTATTTTTCAATTTCAGCATACAGGGAGTACTGCAATTTGCACTGAAATGGGGGAATGTAGGCATTGTTACATGGAAGACCATTGAGAACAAGATGATTTAAGTCATAGATCTCTTATAGTTTATGGGAGGTATAGAGCAGTCTGGAACTACATCTTCCAGCCTCCCTCTCTGTTGGCCTTGCTGATGAAACTTTTGCCAAGAGTTGTAGGTCAGCAGATGGGGGAGGGGGATATTACAAATTCCTAACTCCTGGCTCACAGCCTTAGTTTAAATCATCTAGCCTAAGAAAATAAGAGTCCTGCTGGATTAGATCAAGGCTTATCTATCCAGCAATCTGTTTTGTACATTGAAGCAATATATGTATTGCGTTCATGCTTATATGCTTAAATACATTTTATTTAATGAGCCATAGTTTGCTGGTTTGCACAAGACGCTAATGACAAAAATACCCACATGAAAGCATAGTGCGATATGGAAAACCAATTATTGCTTTTTGTATTGCCCAATCTGATGACAATTTGGAAACCAATGGCAAGTCATGAGGACATTGTCTCTTCCCTGAGTTCATCAACAGCATTTATCAACTTCTCTTCCTCAGGTTTATCTAGCTCTTTTTAATACCTGTCTCAAAAGTAGGCATCTTCATCCCATCTTGTGGTAGCCAATTTTGTACATTAGTTCTTTCCAAATGTTCAGAATCCCTATTTTCTTCTTGCCCCAATTTCTATCCTCAGATGACAATGAAAGATTGGGTTGCAAAACTGGAAGGGATCAGTGAAGCTATTACAAAACAAGCAGCAATTTTTTTGGCACACATTTTTGGCACACTTTGTTTTGCTGCTTTTCTTCAGTCCTTCTAGTAGAAAGGATTAGCCAGGAGCTACACAGAATCAATAACCATGTAGGATTGCTCTTTTTTCTACCAACTCTTTTAAAAGATCACAGTAGACAGGATAGGCCTGTAATTGCATATAACTCTGAGACATCATCTTTATTTGGGCTTTTTTTGGAGCACTTTATAATGCTTTGGCGTTCCTCTATCTTGGTTGGAATTTACAAAAATCATTGTAAATGATTGAAGTACAGGTAATCTTTATTTAATTAGCACAATTGGGATTGGCAATTTGGTCACTACAATCTTACTTCAGCTTTCCTTTATAGACCTGCAAAGATTGTAAATGTGAGGATTGGTCTGAAAATTATTTCTTCACCACCATCGTAATGCAAATGGTCACTATAGAAGGCAATCTCTAAACAAGGATTACCTTTAATAAATAGAGTCCTTATATCAGATTAGCACATTTATTAAAAAGAATAATGAAGTTTGATGAGCTGCAACTCATTTCATCTGATAAAAGCTCATCAAATCTTATACAATTTAATAAAACGTGTTAGTTGGAAAAGATGGCCCCAGACTCCTGGTTTGTTTGTTTTATTGTCACCATCTATTAGATTGCAGACCCAGGCATTTCTTTCTCTTTAGTATCATCCAGTTGTGTAGGAAAGAGACAAATGTTTTAAAGTATTTTAAGCACTATTGTAAAACTGAAACTCCTTTACTTTCTTTTTCAGTTATTTTTTTACCAGTTTCTACACAAAATATGACCGGGTACATTTCATCATCAACACCATCTCTTTGATGAGCGTCTTGATCCCCAAGTTGCCCCAGCTGCATGGTGTCCGTATCTTTGGAATCAACAAGTACTGAGTTCGGGAGGGGGGGAGGTCTTTTCTTTCCCCTCTCCCTTTTTCTGGTGAGCTGTGATAAACCAGAGTGAGAACCCCACTTTCTTTGCTCTGCTGCATCTTCAGGTTAGGATTGCAGGAGAGCTCTTCTTCTCAAGGGGCACATATTGCACAGGATTGCAAAAACCAGCAAAACATAACCAGCTTTGGGCTTGCAAAAAGACAAGAGGAAGCTGAAACGTATGATAACTAATCTTATTATTTCTTCTCAAGAAACTGAAAATAGATGCAGACAACACTGCTATGTAAAAGGTACTTATCATTTGTTCTCTGGTAGGAAAGTATTCTGTTCAGAAGGACAATAGAAGCCTGATTCAAGGCAACATTTATTTAAGATGATAAATGCACTTTAACATCAAACTGTCCCATTGGGGGAGTTTGACTTGCTCATTGAAGGGCTATGTCAGAAAAATGAAGCTACAGCCTATGAAAAGAATAGTCAGATTTCTCTCAATTGTTTATAAATACCTTTAATGATGTAAAGGCAGAATTGGGGTAGAAGGAAAGAGGCAGGAAGCAGATGAAATGCTTGCCCTTGGTTTTGCAGTGGTGCTGCAGTTTGAATCCCAGCTTCCCCACTGCACTCCTGGCCAGAGAATTATTGGCTGAATGATCAGCCTCTTGGAGCACAAATAGCTTACTGTGAAGTTACATGAGAGCAGAGATGAAGAAGACAAGGAATGTGGCTAGAAAAAACCACCAGGGCCTCATTTCCAATATCTTTCTCTTTGTCATAAATCCAACAGTAGTAGTTAAATTATTAAAATCTATTGTTGATTACTGCTTATTTCTGACAGTGCTGAAGCTCAGAAGCTAGTGTCTCTCATTACTCATTGTGATGTCTAGCAAGGTGATGGGTTTGTTTTCTTTGTACCTACCATCCATATAGTAGAACAGATTTTTCACAAATATATCATTATGTTAAAATAAAATTGATCATGTCTAGCAGCAACGGCGCATCTAGCACGATATAATCTTTACTTTTAAGGACTGCTTGCTATTAGCCTATTTCTTATCAACAGTGCCGGTTACTGTAAGAAAGGAAAATGGGTTTTTATTTGGTTAAGATTGTTAACCTATCATTTCTTCAAAAAGCTGCAAAAGGAAAAGGTTCATTTAATAATGCAGATTTCCTCAATTTACATACTTTCCAGATATGTTTCACATTGATTATACTAGTTGGACTGCTACATGAGTTGAATTTTCACACATCTTGAGGGCATAATCTGGGGAAAGGGCACTGCTACCTGGGTGTTTTCCTTCTGCAGCTTTTTATTAGGACACAAGAAGAAAGAGAAAAGACAACACTAGAAGCTTAATAGATTAAGACATGGGACGTCAACATTTAAAAAAAAAACTCAGGCTGCATTTGGGCACTGAAAATATTTTGGGTGGATGAATTTTGATGATCAATATCTTGGATATGAAGTTGCTTCTTATTATTAAGCATGCATTCTGTTAAGTAGAGTATAATTTAATTGCCCCCTCCCCTGCCAATGTGCATATAGTTAGTTAAGAAAGGAGATTGCAGAAAAAATTAACATGGCTAGAATATTTTTTTGGCGTTATTTGTTCAAGTTCCTAAAGATTGGAGCCTGACATCAGCTTCTATTGTTTTATTACTTAGCATACACATGGATGGTAGTGGAGTTAAATATAAAAATAAGCGGGAAAAACTTTTTTCAATTAGGTAATTAAACTCTTTTAACACTTCTCAGGAAACAGCAGCATATCTGAAACATTTCTTCTGTTCCAGAGAGTCTAAGTAAAATAGGTACTTCTTGTTAACAAATATTAACAGATTTTGTAATGAAACATATTCCAGAACGTAAAAGGACACTTAAATGATAATGTGGGAGTTATATGCACTATAATGTATGCAGCTTCAAAAATTATTCTACATGGATCTAAAAGGGAGGAAACTAGAAGTTAATAATGTGAATAGATAGTGATCACTTTGGGGTTTTCATCTTCCTATTTATAGTGACAATATTTTTTATCAAAGTTGAAGTGCTTAGTGCTTGAACCAATAAGCTAATCTAAAGTTGAGCCATAACCCAGTCTAACTCTATGTCCTTAAAGCTTCCTCTCCAGATATTAGATCAGTCATCAAGTACTAAAAGAAAGATAATTTCCTCTTGTTTGATTAAATGTAAAAAAAGTACACGATACATGGAAAATTCCTAATTCTCAAACCTGATCACAATGACCGGGTCCTGGATAAAGCTGCCCAATGCCAACCTCAAGCTCTGGCAATCACTTGTCTAGTGACTGGCAACTTTCTCCAACCCTTGGAGCCATCATGCAAGATGACATGACAGCTCAAATGCGCTTCCCAAGTCACGTGAAGTATAGCAGGATTTCAAGATCTTGTAAGATTTTTGAAGGTTTTTGGAAAGAGAGGAGAGACGCTCTTAGAATTTGGCAAGTGATTTATTGCTGATGGTTAATAAAGTATAACAATATTACTACTGATACTGACAATTATAAAGTGCTGACATTTAATGTTATTCATTATGGAATCATCTAGACAGGATGTTTCAGTTGTGGCAGATCTAGCTCAAGATTTACTATCTAAATCAGCCTTTTTGAACCCTCATTTTGGCTAAATGAGCTGAAGACTATCCAAATGCAGTGGTGAGGTTATTTCGTTAGGGAAATAATTAAAGCCTAGAGAAGAAAAATGGCTTTTCCTAATGTAATTTTTCTCTTAAGAGATGTGGCATTCCCAATTCAAATACATTTAGCAAAAAACTGTGGCAAATAACTCTGGGAGTATTCACCCAAATCCCAGCATAGTTGAGATTCTTCACTGCTATTCATTTCAGTATGTCCTATTTTTATGCCTGTGTAAGACTTCCTTCACAACTTGGTGCCTCCAAATGGGATTGAGCATCCTTAATTGCCATGATCCTCCACCCAGTGTGGCCTTTGGACTGTAAATCAGAAAACATCTGGAGGAGTTTGGATTGCAGAAAGATTGTCAAATACATCTTCAAAGCAAAATACCTTTAAGTATCCATAAAAAGAGAAGGGGCGTTGTCTTACCTGAATGCCTTTTCTCTGCATGATGATGGAGAATCCACGAGTGGGTTGTCTTAACCTTTCCTGCTCAGATGATACTAGAAAGTCTGGTTCCTGCTGGGCTAGAGTGTCCCAGTTTTCGACCAAGGCAAAGCAACCGACGATAGTCTGACATGTTGGTTCCTCCTATCCCTGACACAGGACCAGACGGCCCTTAATGGGTGAGTGTGGATCCTCCATCATCATGCTGAGAAAAGGCGTTCAGGTAAGACAATGCCCCTTCTCCAGCATGATGAGTGGAGAATCCACGAGTGGTACATACCAAAGCCACTCATGTCCCTACGGGGGGGAACTAGTCTGTGCTTGTGTCCCACTAGATGGAAATACCTGCTGCAACACAAAGCATCCAAAGAGGCAAACTTGTCCAACTTGTAATGCCTGATGAAGGAGGAAGGGGAGTACCAAGTTGCAGCCTTGCAGATTTCTTCAATGGATGCCTGTGTCGACCAGGCTGCTGATGTAGCCGCACTCCGGGTGGAATGGGCCGTGATGTGGCCGGGAACAGGCAAGGAATGCAATGTGTACGCACGGGCAATGCAAGCCTTTATCCATCTTCCTGTGATGAAAGAAGAGACCTTCCGGCCCATGGATGAGGGCTGGAAGGACACGAACAGGGCCTCGGACTTGCGGAAGGCCGAAGTCTGCTTGATATAGTGTCGCAGGGCCCTGCGCACATCCAGCTTATGCTACTGCTGTGGATTGGGACAAAAATTGGGCAGTACTACCTCCTGAGTCCTATGAAACCAGGTATTCACCTTGGGGATGAAGGACAAGTCTAAACGAAGGACCACCCTGTCCGCATGGAAGATGCATAGGTCACCCCTGACGGACAGGGCAGCCAACTCAGAAATGCGTCTTGCTGACGTGACTGCAATCAGGAAGGCTACTTTCAGTGAAAGGAGTCGTAAAGAGCAAGACCTGATGGGTTCAAATGGCGGTGAAAGTAGAGCCTGTAGAACCCGTGACAGGTCCCAAGAAGGGTAGCGGCGTATTGTCGGTGGCTTGACGTTAGTCGCCCCCTTGAGGAAGGAGCTTACCACTGGGTTCTGGGCCAAAGGAACAGAATTGTCACATGTGAGCACCATGGATAATGCCACTACCTGTCTACGGATAGTGCTAAGAGTTAACCCCTTATCCAGACCTTCCAACAAATAATCCAAAATATTTGGGATAGTTACTGAGAGAGGTTGGAGGTGATGTTTAGTGCACCATAGGCAAAACTTCTTCCATGTCACATCATAAATCCTATTTGTAGAGGGACATCTGGAAGCCTGAACCATAGAGATCACCGTCAACGAATAGGATTGCCTGGTTAGGTTCCGCCGCTCAAGTGCCAGGCGGCCAACTGGAGCCACTGGGGATCCGGGTGTTGAAGGGCCCCCTGGCTGAGGGAGATACAATCTGGAAGAATCCTCCATGGTGGTGAAATGGACAGGTCCACAAGGTCAGCAAACCATGGACGTCTCGGCCAATGTGGGACAACAAATATGATTGTCATGGTTCCGAAAAGAAGCAGCTTTTCAAAGAACTTTGACATCAAGCCAAAAACCACAAACTTTTAAATCCATTTAGGGGTCCCTTACCCCAGTCATTATCCCTAAGCTAACAGGGATAGTTTGGCTTAACTTTGTTAGTGCCAAAGCTATGCAGAAAATAAAGGATTCTTTAAGGTGAATAAGCCTCAAAGTTCTTTGAAAAGCTGCTTCTTTTCGGAACCATGACAATGATCTCTGCCCGTTCCTGAAGTATCTTGCGGATGGTAGCTGGAATCGGGAAGGGGAGGAAAGGCGTACAGTAACCCCCCTGGGCCACCAGCTGCAGAGGGCGTCCATTCCCTCTGCCCCTGGGGATGGGAACCTGGAGAAGAACCTTGGGAGTTGGTTGGAGAGGCAAACAGGTCCAACTGTGGCTGACCGAATCTGTCCGAGATCTCCCTGAACAGAGCAGGGTCCAGGCGCCACTTGGAGTGGTCCACGGTAGATCTGCTCAGGGATCTGCCTGTTGGTTTGCCTCCCCCAAAATGTGCTCTGCCTTCAGAGAGCAGAGGTGGACCTTTGCCCAGGAGTTCAAATGGCGGGCCTCGCTCATGAGGGACTTGGATCAGGTCCCTCCCTGTCTGTTTACGTGTGCCTTTGCTGCCACAGCGGTGAGGATCAGAACGTGTTGTCCCGCCACCCTGTTGGTGAAGTGGCGTAAGGCCAGATGTATGGCCCTGAGCTCCAGCCAGTTTATACTGTGTCTTAATCCGAGTGGGACCCCGACCCTGAGCTAATTGTGATTGGAGGTGAACCCCCCAGCCTAATAAGCTTGCATCTGTGGTCAAGGTGAGCCTGACTGGCTCCTTGAAGAGGAATCCCTTGGCAATCGCCGGGCAGGTCCACCACTGGAGGGAACATAATGTCTGGCGTGGAACCCTTACTCTCCTGTTGGAAGAGCTCATGTTCAACTTCTGAAAGGGAAGAAGGAACCATTGCAACTCTCTGGAGTGTAACCTGGCTCATGGAACGATTCCCATCTTCCCCAGCAACTGTGACAGCACGACTAGAGGAACCACCCTCTCCATTCAAACCCGGTGTATTAAGATCCAGATGCTGTCCCGACATTCCGGGGAAAGAAAAACTTTGCAGAGCTTCAAGTCTATGACTGCCTCCAGGTGAAGGAGACAAGTTGAAGGGACCATGTGGCTCTTTTGGAAGTTCACAGAGAATCCGTGAACCTGAAGAGTCCTGATGATGAGTACCAGGTCCGACTGGGCTGACCGGAAGGAATGGGACTGGATGAGGATATCATCCAGATAACATTGGACATGCACCAGAATCATTCTCAGGTAGGCAGCTAATACCACTAAGATCTTTGTGAACACCCGTGGGGCCGAAGACAGGCCAAACAGGAGTGCTCTGTACTGAAAATGCCGGTGTGCGTGGCAAAATTGGAGGAATTTGCGGTACTCGGGGAGGATTGGAGCATGCAAGTAAGCCTCCGTCAAGTCTATGGATAACAGGAAATCTCCCCTCCTGACGCTGGCCAGGTTAGACTTGAGAGTCTGCATTTTGAACCACTTGTAGGCCAAGTGGTAATTTAGTCCTTTCAGGTCCAATATTGCCCTCCAATCCCCTGAGGCCTTCGGGACCACGAACAGAATGGAGTAAAACCCCTTTCCCCTCTGTTCCGTGGGTACTGGTTCTATGGCCTCTATCTGTAGTAGATGGGTAATGGCCATGGACATGAGCCTTGCTTTGGAAGTGTTTCTCGTGTTGGGGCATGCTAGGAAACATTCTGGAGGTCTGGTCGGGCACTTCCCATAGTGGCTGAATTCTAAGAATACACCAATGATTCTTTATCCATGCGAGCAGAAAGAGATGCCTATCACACACAGAGCGATATAGTTTCTATCTTTTGTACTATAATAGTTACCTTCAAAGAGTTAATAGTTACTCAGTGTAGTCATTAGGTTGTTCTAGTTCTTATCTCTTTACTTTTAATGCAATTTAAAATTTTATTCTATTTTATCTCTTTCCTTTAAAAACTGAATGACTGATTCAGGACTACTGGTCTTATGAACCTAATAAAATTAAATAATACAATAGGAGCAAATCCTCACTCCTGTACCACATTGTTAAAATTAAAAGCTTCAGTTTACGCTAATACCTTAGAGTTTTGCTATTATTAGGCATGAGATATATTGTGAATGCTGTCTTATCACTGGAATAATGTAAGATCCTCTTACTATTTAGTAATAAGTTTCTCTATTGCAGAATGGGATCAATTTCTAATCACATGTCTGTATGAAGAACTACTCTATAGAATTTGTACTTAACCCCCTCAGATAGATAGAATTATAGAACAATTGAACCAGACCCTAAATAATATGTTAAAAAAATATGCAGCAGAAGATCCTAAGTATTGAGACATGTGATTGCCTTATCTATTATTTGCATATAGGGAAATTCTGCAAGACTCCTCTGGTTTCAATCCCTTTGAACTCCTACATGATGGATGACTCCGAGGAATCTTAGATACTGTACATAACAAAAAACTGGACAAAGAGAGTGGAACGTTCTAAGTATATTGTGGGATATACTTTGATCCAAAGGGAGAAATTGACAAAGGTTCTGGATGAGACTACAAATTTTCCATCCCTAGCTAAAGAAATTTCAATCAGCATTCAGGCTCATTGGCTACTGACTGAGCCCGAAAGACTTCCCACTGACCATCACCTTAGGAATGAAGAGAGGCTAACATTGTTTCAGGCAAGAATCAGGATGCACTTCTTCCATTGCTGTATTATGTTTATATTGCTTCCCTGCTTTAGATTGCCCAGCTAAAGCTATTGTTTGTTGGGGTGGGCCAAAAATATTTTGCCGTCTAAGATAAATGACAGGATGACAAGACTGCCTCCACCCAGATTCCATGTAGAAACAGGATTAGCATTTGAATCCTATGTGGCAATGAGGATTAAGAGGTCATTTTGACATCCTGGCAAATTACTTTATGGTAAAGTAAAGCTTCAGGACAGTTCATATGACACACACACAGCTATGTTTTCTAACTGCAAAAAGAAAACAGAAGGGATGGAGTTTAGAATTTCCACTGATACCAGATAAAGATTGACAGACTGATTTGGGCAGTCCTGCTATACATTACTGCATACATAAAAGTTTGAAGAACCATGTAGCACTTCTAGAGATCTAGAAATAGAAGGGGGGTGGGGAACCCAGCTGGATGCTTTCTCCAGCTTAGTTAATACATTTGCAATAGTACAGTACTAAGTTCTCGAACAGTTTGATATCTACTCAATGTGAGGGAATATAGGCTTCCTTTTAGCTTCAGACTATGTACTTCACAAGAGTATAAAACAATACAAAAAAATAATCTATTTTTAAGGTATAAGCATTTTAGGAAGGCAAAGGTAGCTGAGGCTATCACAAACAGAAATTTATGAAATGTGTATGGATTATTCTTTAATTATAGTGAAATAACGTATTGCATTGATTTGCCATTATCTGAAATTCAATTTTTAGAATGACCATATGAATGGTATTTTAAATTAGTTTTATCAGTTCCACATTGAACCTCTTTGCAATGAACATAGTATTATAGCTATATTTTTCCTTTCTTTCCTATCCTATTCCAGCCTACCTTACACTACCCTATCCTATCCTTTCATTTCTAGATTTGACCTTAATTTTTTGTGTAGTGAAGAAATCCTTCGTCTGGAAAACTTTCTAAGACAAAGTGTGAATATTATTTTTATGAGTCCTTTCTACAGTATTTCTAGACCAACTAATAAAACAAAAAACAGTATTCATGCAATATCCTGTCTGTGGTACTGTAATTTATGGTTGTATATGAATGTAGCAATAATATTGTTTTAGCCAATGGTCTTTGCAAATTTCTAGGAATATGAGAAGTTTAAGAAATTCAAATCCAAACAAAAAGAATAATCTGAAAATGAAAACATAAAGTAGCAAAATATGGTGACCAAATTCATGTTAATGAATTTGTCAGATCAAAACATAGCACTTCTTAACCAACCTTGGCTGACTTTAAAAAGATAAGCAAGGTCAGCCTAGTTAGTATTTGTATGGGAGGTATTTAGTAAATATCAGGATTGTAAAATAGATTGGATTTTTTTTTTTGAAAAAAGAACAGGAGCTCAGTTCTATAAAGCAGTGATACTACACTTGATCTCAGCCAAAAGACTAAGAAAAACCTTCAAGAGCAAAATATCTAACTATGGGCCTGACACAGGACCAAAGAATAACTCTAACCAGAATAAGATTTAAGCAAGAATCTAAGCAAGCTTCAATTCTGTGGTAAAAATGGGCAATTTCATCAAATACCTCATCCAGAGAGGATGTATTATAAACCTTATGTGACACACAACAAACAGAATATCACTCATCTCTTCTGTAATTGTCAACCATATGCCAGCCAGAATGTGGTTTTTTAAAGTCACTAATTGATAAGAGAGCCTATTGGGATCCCATTAATAAGCTATCTTACTTCCTCCAACACATGGACAGAAAGAGAGACAAACAAGTATATATCTAAAGCCACTTGTCTGAGAGTTTCCTATTTGGATCAGATTGGAGTCAGTTGCCAAAGGGAATGATATTAATTGACTATTTTGTTAATATTTTTAATGCTGCAATATGCTGCATTATTTTATTTTATGTTATATAACCTTTAGACTAATCAGTCAACACTAAACTAAACCAAACCATAAAGTAATGAAGAAAATTCCATGGATATTTTGATGTGTATTTATCACAAGTCAAACTTTATTAAAGAAGCCACTCCTTATCGTCTATGGAAAGTACAGCTTTTCAAGCAGCCAAGAGAGAAATCACAAGAAGTGACTACTGTGAGTAAATCACAATAACATTTATATCAACAGTACTTCTAATTTAATAGTTTTGTTTTGTTTTTTTAAACAAATTTTATTGGTTTTTTGATTCTTAAGAGAAAGTGCTCGAGACACACTGTAGTACTGGGGTAATCAAAAATCCAAAGACAAAACATATATAAATAACTCAATCAGTACATCAAGTATTCTCTCTCTATTTCCCTCAAATAGCTTAATATATTTAAAATAATCTATTTCTGACTTAAATTTCTATTAATCCTAAACCTGTTTTAGAGCTTTATACAATTACAATACCATAATCAAATTTAACTTTAAATAACCACATTTCCAGTTCAGGTATTCCTTCCAAATATATCCTAATTCCTTAATTTTATCATAAATCTTATTTTTTTACTTTTTGTCTTCCACTAATATCTCCCAGTTAAAATAAAAGATTGATCTATCCTATACATATCTAATTCATCAAGCAATCAATTTCTTTAAACAAAGTAATATCAACCTTAAATCCTTTAAGTCCTTTAGACAAAGTACTAATTTCATCCAATTAATTATCAAACCTAATAATCTCCATATTATCAAACAAACACATCTTATTAAAATAACATCAATTAATTATTAGTTCAATCCCAATCTCAAACATCTCTTCAATTTTCTTCATTCCATTACATGATAATTTTCATACAAATAAACCTATTATTCCAAAAAATACATTATTTAATATATATATTCTAATATTCACTCATTTTTCTTACTTCTAACTCAAAAGCTTAGCCCTTAAATCAGTGGTTCTCAACCTTTTTAATGCCGTGACCCCCAACCGGTCGTAAGTTGAGGACTACTCAACTCGTGCAGCACCATTTGCAGAATGGGACTTTTGGCGGGCTCAGCAGGGCAGAGACAGTCTGGACAATTCCTATTGGCTTTTGAAAGCCAATAGAATTAGACTCTATTCAAGAGAGTCTATTCTATTGGCTTTCAAAATCCAATAGAATAAAAGGGAGTAGCACAGCTAAGGAAAAGGGGGAAAAATGGCGGACTGTGTTGTTTGGCGACCCCCGTGAAATGGTCGTTCGACCCTAAATGGGGTCCCGACCCACAGGTTGAGAACCACTGCCTTAAATCAATCCATAGGTCTAAAATGCCTTAAATCCAGTATATATAGTTTTAAGTTTCTCTTTTCAGTCTTATTCTAGGTTTCTTTTTATGCCAAGCAGGTTTCCACAACAAAGCTTCTCTTTCAGCTGATAGGTCTCTCTTTGTTACTTGTAGTACCATGTGAGACAGTAAGAAGCCTCCTGTCTTCTGCATTGGACCTCTATTTCTCTTATCTTTGAAGCCTCGTTGCTTTAAAGGTTCAAATCTCAGTCTTTGCTTTTTCTGATCCTCAGGAGTATAGATAAAATGCTTATAAAGTAAAATAAGTTCCTCTGTATTCTCATTGAAGTCATCTTTTAATATATATTGGTTTGTAAAATAGTCAAATGTAGTCTGAGAGTCAATTTTAAGATTTGAAGGAGAGTTTCTGGCTCTTGGATCTGTGGAAATCTCTTCCATTGTAACAAATTCCTCTTTAATCTCCCTTAGTTCCTCTTCTGGTATGTTTTGGTTTGTAGAATAATCAGATGTGATCTGAAAGTCAATTTGAGAGTTTGAGGTAGAGTTGGCTCTTCGTTCTGTAGTAATCCTTTTCCTTATGGCACATATTTCTTCAGTAGCCTCATAAATCTTTTCCAGCATAAGCTTGCAATTTAGCTGAGAATGAAATATCTCCATTTTGAAAGTAATTTAAAAAATCCTTTTTATTCTTTTTAGTAAAAACTGTAGTTAAGCAGTGCCCACCCCCTCAGTTCCCACAGCTGCATCAGCTTATCTTTGCCAGAAATAGTTTGAAGGTCAGGTCCTTCTCTCCAAAGAATGATCACAGTTGTAATATTAAGTTTTCACCACTAGATGTCCTCAGTAAATAAAAAAAACTTTTCCAGACACCATTGTTTTCCTTTTTTCTATCTTTTAAAGGAAAACATAGAAAAAGGAATAGTCTTCCAAAATAAAATAATACAATTTGAAAAAGTGTTTTTTTCTGTATCCCAAACGGAATGAAAATAAAATGTAATCTTTAAAATTTTTCTCAGCGCCTTTCTTCCCACACATACAGAAGCTGCTTTTTCAGACAGGGAAGTAATACCAAACACGCTTTTACAGGCAATAAAAAAAACCAATTAGAACAAAGAGAGGGGCATAGAAGGTCTCACCTGGATCCCCCACTGTGGGTCTAAAACACTTAGTTGTTATTGTGACTTCAGCTGGTGCAGCAGAGTAATCGGCCATCTTGCAGGACGATCGTTGCTCCATCGGCCCTAAGGAAATAGCTGGAGCCACGGGAGAAGCTGCCACTCTCCTGCAGTCACAAGCAAGCCTCCTCCACGGTGTTCGCCCTTCCAGGGTGACTTTCGACCCACTAAGGGGTCTACCAACAAAGAAAACCCGGTCAGGCTGGAGACAAGTCCCCAGATACGACCGGCGTCACCGCGTACCGGAACCGGAAGTCTGATTTAATAGTTTTCTAAAATGCAGTTCAAATAAAGTTAATTAAAATGGCACTAAGAAATGTTTGTTCTATGTTAGATCTGTATAAGCTACAGAAGAGTAATGAATCATGAGTCCAATAGGACCCCAACATTATGCACCAACTCAGTCTGGGAAAGTGACACCTATCCAGAGTCAAAGATGAAAAAATCATATGGGTTTGGCGGGCCATAATCCCATATAGCCACTCCATCTTGCAGGGTTCAGTCAAAGCTGGTTCTTTCCCATCCAGACCCTTACAGCATCCAGGCACACCACATCACTATCCCTGCCATCACATCACTTGTCTGGCTTGGGATGGAGATACTGTACATAACTGCATACCTTTGCCATTGATATGAAATTCTAAACTGATCAGTTGCAGAGGGTTATTGAAACTAGCCTTACAACCTCAGCCCCACAATAAATGTGGACTAGGGCTGTAGATCACTGTTTCTCAATCCAGGTCATTGTAAGATGCATACACATCAACTCTCAGAATTTCTTAGCATAAAAGACTAATATTTCCTCCACTCTACAGTTTGGATAACTAATCACTATATACAGGTTCTTACTTATAAACTGTGTTGATAATTATGCGTGTGAAATAAATTCATAGTTTTATATGCTGAAATAGCAAAAAGTGTTGAGGGCCTGGGCTTCTCTTGAAGATGCAGAGAGAAACTATAAATCAATTTTCTGCAACCTTCTATATCAGGCATATCAAATTCACAACATCACGTGACCTCGCGTGATGTTATCGGGACTTTTTCCCGATAACGGCGATGGGGTGGGCGCAGTTTCAGCATGACGCATCCATCCCGCAGGCTGGCAGTTTGACGTGACTGTTCTCTATTCTCTATGTGTTAGACTATGGGAATTAGGCTGGATTTCTACACTGCTGTAAGGCACAATTTATTTCAAACACGTTTTGTTGAAAAAACTATTATGATCTAGTTCTCATAGAAAACTAATCCATAAACCATGGTTCAGTTATTGCAGACTAAAACCAAGTTTGTTAACACACTGAAGTTGGTAGCTAGGTATTTTGGATATAGTAATTTCATTGTACTCTCTTTTTTCTGCCCTGTCTTCGTGGGTCAGATTTAAATCAGCCTGAGCTATTTCAGTTTTAAGGTAATGTTTTCCAGCAGAATCCTCTGGCAAATGCAGTGTGCTTCATCAACTATTCTGTCAGCAGGCGGAAGTTATTCCTGAGGGATTGTGGCAGGGCAGCACCCATTGACCACTGAGGTAGGCACTTCTTTCCCCTAGAGTGTAAACTATCCAAACTTTACATCTAAACAGATAGTCCTTCGCTCTTGGGTCTCTGCATGGCCCAATCACTTTTATGTACTCTCTGTGCAGAAGACTGACTTA